AAACCCTTTTTGCCGACATGTCAATTTTTCTCCGTTCGTGCATTAAAGATTGATTGGATCTGCCCACGAGGCTTTTATTTCTCGTGTACAGATAATTGATGAGACAATCTGCTGGGACGGTTGACGTAAATCTGTTTGACACGTGATGGTTGTCTTATGTAGAGATGAATTGGGGAAGAATTTGCGGTTCGTTAAACTGATCTTTACAGTTTGACGAACAATATACACCTTGCTACATTTTTTAAAACTGAACTATCTCTGACGTCATTTTGATGTAAAAAATAGTGTTATGATGTATTCCAATTGCTATTTCATCCTTTATATCGATCCACTTTACTTAAAGGGTATGAAGTGAATTTTTTTCTTCGGAACATATTTTGTGCAACTTTCTACTCCTGTTAAATGTATGAAAACTATTTGACATCCCTTATTGATTGATGTTATTGGTTGGTGTCATTTCAGGAAGACACTGTTCAGGTTAGGGGTTTTCTGTTCAAATTGTGAATCCCAAAAAGTTGTTTATTGACAATAATGCTCGTTGGCTGACTGCCGTGTGCTGACACAACAGCAAATCACCACAGAAACAAAATTACGACAGCGAAATATGCAAAATTCTGGCAACTTTTGGTGATGAAATATAGCTGTAACATTGAGGTATATCTGCCTGAAATGACATCACACTTTTGCTCATGAATATGGAAATTCGCGTCAGCATAAAAAGGGCACAAAAATACCCTTGAAAATGGCAAAACGAAAATTGAAAATAAGGTTAAATGGAACACAAAGGTGCATTTCCAATAAATGCATTACAAATATTGCATTGCAGGGGCCCATTAAACGGGTAAAATGCTTCTTTAGTAAAAATGTACGTTGTATTTGGGTTTGTCATCTAAAATGGTCACCACGGAAAATAGGCTGCAACTTATTTGGCTGTACAATTATATTATATTTAGCATATGCAACGGATTAAAACAAATTATTGTAAAAAAAAGATAATTCAACAAGCAATCTTGAAACAAAAACTACTAGATTAGAGAAGAGCTCACGGAAGAGAGATGGCGATTCTTGTCTCGACAATGTCAATCGGGTCTGCGTGATGTCACATATTGTCATTGCAATCACGATTCGCAATTTCCTTTACACTCATTCGGATCACACCGTCATTAAATCAATCTCGGTGCCTCGGCAGCGCAGCACGAGCGGTACGCGCTGCAATCCATTAAGCTGGATAACACGGTACGAATCCCGGTGTAGCACGGTACAAATCCCGGTGTAACACGCTACAAATCCCGGTGTAACACGCTACAAATCCCGGTGAAACACGCTACAAATCTCGGAATAACACGCTACAAATCCTGGGGTAACGTCTTGAGATCACCCTGCGTGGGGATTGCACGACCATGATACCTTAATAATACGTACGCCGACTCATCCAGTTGCTTGATTTAACAAGTTATCTCTACGGGGTGTGAGTAAAAAAAAAAAGGAAACCCAATTGTCAGAACCATTTTTAGTGGAGTTCTGCATATAGCACTTTCAAAATCTAGGATATGAAAGCCCAATCAATGAACTTTCTTTTAATACAAGAATCATTCAAATCACTCATGTACTTTTCAAGTTACGGAATTTTAAACACAAGCACCGTTTTAAAGTTCTGTCCACGGATCACAAAAAAGGTAAGTCCCTATATGTGAATTGTTTTCGTTTTGCTGAAAAACACTTTTCCTGTTTGTGATCCGTGGACATAACTTTAAAACGGTGTTTGTGTTCAAAATTCCGTAACTTAAATACTACATGAGTGATTTCAATGATTCTTATACTAAAAAAAAAGCTTATTAATTGGGCTTCCATTTCCTAGATTTTGAAAGTGCTACATGCAGAACGTCATTAAAAATTGGTCCTGCCATTTTGGGTTTCCTTTTTCTTTTACTCACCCTGTATTGTCATGCTCGATGGAAAACATCTCCTTGTTTATAGTGTGTATTTGTAACAATGTATACGTATGAAACTTCGATATACACTGATAATTTAATTCCAAATGAAATGTACTGAAGTTGAATAAAGTTTATTAGGCCCACATACTTTTTTTTTCAAGAAATTAATTTTCCCCATCAGGATGCACTATGTTATCCTCTCTTTGGTTACTAACGGGTGGCGCACATCCCCCCATATTGCGTTTTTATTTAATATTTCTGACATATACCGTCTAATTTAACATCAAAATGTTTGCTTCCCTTCCAGTCTTCCTTCAGACCATAAAGACTGTCATGTCACATCAGACATGCGGCCGCCTAGGGTCGTCTCAATATTTAGCTAGGCAGACGGGTGCAGATTTAATTGGCCAGTCGGATATGACGCCAAATGAAAATGCTTTTTAGCAGATTTCGTCTTCATTTCGGCCGGCAGTCCTGTTGATCTGGGTTGGGATCTCGATTTAATAACGGAAGATCCTGTTCAGTGCCCGCTCGCCCAGGTCGTGTATTGAAAGTCCGGAAGACTTTCGGTTGGGATTCCGTGTTCGTTGGTTCCTATCAATTCGAGTTAGGAAAACACGCGGTATATAGATGAACTGGTATAACACAGCCTGGTTTTGTTTGTCCAGTTGGCGCCGATGGCTGACAAAATCAGCAAAAGTTACTGTAAAGAAAACCTCGAAAATTGATTTCGAATGGACTCCCATAACGCGAGAACCATTAGATTTACATTTAACCATCTATTATGCCAGTCCCTGTTTGGATGACCAATTAAACTCAAATTGGTTGTGGATTACATTGTCCTTGGATTCGAAGTCCTTTCACTGATAATAGATTAATTCACATAGACACACGTGGAATTCATTTAACGCTTCTTGGATTAAAGTGTGCACAATATTATGCTCGCAAAGTAAATGGTATACTGGTTACGGCGCATCTTTAACACAGCGTGGTCCCATTATTAAACCCCTATAATACATTAATTACATCGATTAAGATGTGTATAGGAACCTTTTTAAATGTCACTTTGGCAATGACGTCTGCAGTTTGTGCTTGATCTTAAGTGCACCTGAGCACTCTGTCTCGAGGAGAGTGACTAGTATATCATGCATCTATGCTCATGAATGATTGTGAGTGTGTGGGGAGGGGGGGGGGGATGTCCCAGCTAATTTCATTATACAGCGGAAAGGCATGCCGCGTTTGGCCTGCGTATATACGTAAACACTTAGCACTCGCTCCACGGCCATGCACTTGAATATTCCGTCTATATACTTCTGAATATAGGGTATTATTTTTTCCCCCCAAGTTTACCGCCCAATGTAACTTGGTATTGTATTTTTTTGGTTGGTATGAATAGTTTTGCACATAATATGATTGTTATTGTGCTGTATTCAGGTTCAGAGTGTTCCAGAGGGCATGACGAAACAAGTCTCACAACACATGTGGTAAGTTTATTCCATCTTTCAACTTTGTGCTTGTTAAAAAAAATTCCTAAGTAGGCCTACAAAAGCAAAAGCCTACCATTAGCATTAGGGTGGCTTGGGTGGCTTGTGCGTAAAGCGCTCGCCTCTCACCAAGGTGACCACGGTTCGAATCCTGGCCGCGGATCGCATGTGAGTAGAGTTGTGCGTTGGTTCTCTCCTGTGCCACGAGGGTTTTTCTCCGGGCCCTCCGGTTTTCCTCCCTCCGGAAAAATCAAACACTTTTGATCTCAGGCTGTGCTCCGTGGTCATTTATAATGGGTCGATGTGGCCGGCAGCCATAGGCGCCTTCACGTGCCAGCGGCCCGACCACGTTGTAGCCGCGTCCTTCGCAATTCAGCATACCAGCTGCGAGTAAGGATGATTAGCCTCCCAAATTATTATTATTATTATTATTATTATCATAACAATAAAAGTCTTCCCACAGCTTGCAATGGGGCGCCACCAAGCATTTCAGAAAAAAAATTCATCAAAGTCTGTGTCTGAAGGTAACGGTCGCATAATAGGACATGTTTACGGTAAAAAAAAAAATCAATGTAGGTCCACATCACACGGGCTGAGCGTGGTGTTTATGATGATGTTCCTGTAATTTGGATGTTTCTACGCCGGGCATGATCGAAGCAAGGCCAAATGTTGCGCATAACATAGGTGTGTGTGTACATACGGAATCGATGGAGTTCAGGAAAGGCTGGAATATATGGTGAGGATGATATCGCTTCGGCTGTCTGTGGTAAAAGCGATTTAATGTTTACTGGACTTGTGACTGTAGACACCCCGCGCGCTTCGACGCTATGGGTTCAAGAAACGGTGATGTTAAATAGCGGAAATGTGTAGTGGAAGTACATGTTATACGCTGCATTAGGCCCTATGGGGACAGGGGTGTCACACTATTAAACACAAAATACCAGTTTGCTAACGCTATCTATCCCAGCATTCAGTGCGAGATATAACTTTACTGCATACTTCCGGTCTTTCCGGAAAAGGGTCTATCCCAATCCAGACACCAATTGCAGAATAACCACCTCTTCACGTTTCCATAAGTAAACTCACAACCTGCCATACACAAAACTTCTTTAGCTAGCCACAGCATGCCACGAAATTGAAAAAGTACGCATACCCATCCACCATCAAACTGCTATTTCATTGCATAGTGCACTTGTGCTGGTATTATAGATTGGACCAAATAAAGGCTATATCGTCATAAACTGCCATAACAAATCTTCATCAGCCACATGCATAGCACACATTTCAAAAAGTACGCATACCCACCCACCCAGCCTGCATCAAACTGCTACTTCCTTGCATAGTGCTGGTATAGATTGGGCCAAAAGGCTACCGTCTCTTTTGTAGCACCGCACTCGGTGACGTTGATGACGCTGGTCGATGCTGGTGACATGCGCGGATACCATATTCACTGTACGAGCTAAAGGAAAGTGTACTTTTTCTTGTTTTCCCACGCAAATTTATCTATATCTCGGCGACGGATCACCACGCGCGCATTTTGACAACACTGCAACTGCAGACTCGTAACATTGGCATTGAAGGCACATAGCTATAACCCAAGAACCCCGTAGGCGACAGTCGCATACTAAAGGTACGTCCATCCGCTTCGACACGTCACTCACGCTAACGGGAGCTCGTGGGAGTGTTTCCCCTGGTCTATTCAGATAAGGCACGTTCCGTGGTTTGGAAGTGTTCATATACATGCATGCAGGTAAGCGCTGACAAGTCGGTGACGAGGTGCCAAGCCTGGAATTCAACGCTGATTTCGGAGGGTTCACTCGTATCGGTTGCCCACGGGAGGAAGGCTCGTACTAATCATCGGTTGAGCACGCTAGGTGCGTGATTGCTGGGACGAATTTGACTTGGAAACACGGTCTTGCCCGATTGCGGATTCCACAGAAGGGATACCGTAGCAGGCGGTCACCAGAATGAACACTGACTACTACGTGTCATCGAATTCTTAAACACTGTATTGCTTAGTGGCTGCGGTCCACTTACACCACTACTTTGACAGACAGCAACTAAACTTTTACCGATTCCAGATACAAACCCAGGTAGATAACTTTTTGTTGTTTTTCTTGGGAGCGTAAGAATTTTGACCCTTTAACATTCAAGGCGTGACTGTGATGAATGACGTCAGCTTCACGTTGGTATCCACTCGAACGAATATATTGTTGTGCTCTACCGACCTCACAAGTCTCGCAACCCAAATCTAAATGTCATGTATTCTCTTCTCCGGGTAGCGGAGAATTAAGAGTGGTGCGCTCGATTGGAGAATAGAACCTACGCAAATGCAATGCTTTTACCCTTTAGACATCCAAGTTACAGACAACCAAATAATGCGAGTGGTGTTTGGTCGGGAATGCCTCATTGCTTGTAAACAGATATCGAATCTCGAAGTTGCTCGTGTGCGTGAATATTGAAGGCATCCATTTTCCCCGCACGCGGGCTTGACAAAGCTTCTAACGGGGCGGAACTCTGCGACTGAATACAAATACACCCAGTGTCTAGACTTGGCGAATTCAAGACAGATTGAAGTACCCGCTCCTGTGAGAGCATTCACTAGCCACATTAAGAAAAACCTCCCGGAATTTAACATTAATGGGTCTCTTTCTCCCCTCTCTCATTTCATATTGGCAGCTGCTTATCCGTGGGCTACGCCGCGTCTTGCATACCGGACCGGACTGTTGCCGGGGATTCTAACCTAATATCGCCGGTTTGTCGACCGTAACTCTATCCAGTGCCAACCAGCTGAGCGATTGAAATCACAATCTACGGACCTCATTTTCTTCCATTCTCTCTTTCTCTCTGTTGCGAAGCTCTGGGAGAAACCGTCGAGTCGAAAGAGACAAGCAAACACGGAGAATGTGCAATCCTGTCGGATAAAGTACACTAGCGATAGAAGCCGGCTCTTTCCACCATAACGTATACGCTCTGTCTGCCTCTGATGAGCCGCCCGTGCCGTGGCCTGTCGGCTGTGTGTTATTACGTGACTCCAATGCAGTGATTCTGCATGCCACGAAATCTGAAACTTACATTAACTTGGATATTTTTTTTAAAGTGTGATTCGAAGCTTTGCTGAGCTGAAGACGAGAGCGCACAGATGACACGTAGAAAACTGTAGAAAATCACACAACCTTCGAAAAGGACAAAAGTGCTCTACCTGTGATTCGCTCAAATTGGAGGATTGGATGGTATTGAAAGTGCATGTGGTATTCTAACGGGAATTGCATGCCGCACCTGTTTTGATTGCTTCGACTTTCCTTGAAGCAATTACGTTCACTGCGTAAATAAAAGGTGCATGTAGTACTTCTTCCCAACTGCCACTATGCATTCCCGCCATTTTCAACCGCTCGTCCAAGCTGCAGTCTGTGCCGTACTGTTCCAGCAGCTCCTCTTCACCCCACCGGCCACCTGGGCATTGCGGACGTCATCGGGCTCATCACCCGGACGTAACCGGACTCCCATCTACATCGCCGGGTTCTTCCCGTTCAGCGACACATTCAACGACATGCTGGTCAACTCCACGGAGATCGCCATCGACCACGTGAACGAGTTCGAGGACCTTTTGACGGACTACGAGCTTCGGATGGTCTGGAACTGGACCCAGGTAAGCTTAAGTAACAAACATTTAACATTCAAACAATCAAACACACTAACACAAATGTTATAATCTGAGGGTCAATTTCCGTGCACAGGTAACATGGAAGCAGCGTTACAATTAAAGAAACGAAGACTTCATAATAACATTGACGCCAAAAGCGTTAAGCACGAAGAAGGATGAAGTTTGGATAAAGACAGAAGTGGACTAAGGTTTGGAATGAAGAGGTTTTTTTAAGGCACTGTAGGAACACCCATGTTTGCGTTACATACTTATAGTGTGGACATTCCTTTGTTTTCGTGTAGTTAAGAAAAACTTCTGAAAAAAAATCAGTTTACTCACACTGTGGAAACTCTTTCAACCCATTTTTTCCCCTACAATTCGCTTTTGTGTTTCTCTTCATTTTGCAACGGATGAATCTAACCACAAAAAAGTCTCTAAACCTGTTTTCCAGAGATGGGGAAACATTGTGTGGACGTGGGCAAGTCCACACAACGTCGCTGCTACCTGGTTTATGTGGACCTCTTTTGTTCGGAAGTCCACACAGTGAATGTGATGCTTGTACACTGGTATAGTTACCCGGAAACGGACTTCCAGATTTTATGAGAAAAACCTTTCTCGAAGGAAAGATAGGGATAGTACCAAAATACTCTGTGGAATTAATCTGCCGACAATACACTATGCAAAATGGTTTCGATGGTTAGAAACAAACGTGCCTGCGAGAAAGATTTTGTTACGTGCGCGTGCGTTAGCAATGGAACTCTGCTACGAGACCAAAATATTGTACACGTGCTTTGTATAGACACTTAGCATAAACTTCATCCGGTTGGTTGGTATAGCTGTGCACCCTACTAAATATTGTGAGAAAAATCAACATCTGTACCTTTAAAACTAATTGTTTACATTATAGGCACAACTTACTATCGATTTTGGTACTTTGGTCATTCTTGTAATTTGAATCTCATTAATGTAAAAGATCACTATCGATGTCCGGCATCTTAATTAGATATAAAGCCAGCTATCGGAAAGGACGCAATCTTCATTTTATTTATTCATCATGAAAACATGAAAATTTGCTTCCCAGTCAAAACACACACACAAAAACATACATATTAGTGGAGCTGCTAAGCGAAAAATCGTGCACTTTGTGGTAAAAGCATGAAATTTGGCATGTGGGGTCAAAATGGGCTAAAAATCATTTTAAGATCGGGACCCATCCTGGATCTTGCCCATTTTGGGGGCGGAGCTTGATTTTTCAAAAAAGGGGGTGCAAACAATACAAACTCATGAAAACTGTATTTAACATCAAATTTCCTTGTTTTTTTACGCTTTGAAATAAACTTAAACATGAAATAAGACATTCTAGCATTCTAACACCTGTTAATTTTCCACCCATTTTGTGGGCGTGGTCTAAATGGTAAAAGAGGCGGTATATATTAGCAGTTTGGTTCTAATATGGAAAACATCATTCAGTTTGGTGGTAAAATTCTGAAAATTGGCATGTCCAATTGAAATGGGCGAACATAATTTTTAGAGGTGAACGCATCTTGGATCTTACCCATTTGGGGGGCGGAGCTTGATTTTTCAAAAAGGGGAGTGCAAAAAAAGAAAACTCAGAAAACTGTATTTTTACATTCACTTTGTAAATTCTAACATTCTTTATTGACACACGCTGTACTAAAAGAAAGCTTATGAATCGGCTTTCATATCCTAGATTTTGAAAGTACTACATGCAAAATGTTATTAAGAAAATGGTCCCGCCATTTGGGTTTCCTTTTTTGTTCACTGACCCTGTATACTTACAATGGCGGCATTTCCTAATTGTGCATGTATTATAAACACTATGGGGATCACAAGGAGAGGGAGGGGAATTAGGGGCGGCCCAATGAAGGATTTCTTGAAAGTGCTCTTCTAATATGTTTAATATATATATATATAGGCATATAAACATGAAAATGTGCACAGAATATACGTCCATTCAGGCGCGGTTCTAGAACCAATATTTTTTTTTGGGGGGGGGGGGGGCTAGCACGGTGGATCCAGAATTTTTTCCGGGAGGCGTGCTGAAATGTTGACTGGTTATTTTTTTCAGACACTTAGGCCTCCGAAAATCAATAGGTGGGGAGGGGGGGGGGGGGGTTCATGCCATATTTTCAATGGGGAGCGCCAATAAAATCCTAAAATCATTCACACTATATTAACTAATGCACCCTTGTCACGGCTATTTCTTCTTTAGGGGGAGACCGTTCGCCCGTACATCACAATCCTTCTTTATGCTAATGCAATTTTTTTTTTTACGGAATTTATTTTGGGGGGCTAGACAAAATTTTTTGGGGGGCTACAGCGCCCCCCTAGCCCCCCCCCCCCCCCCGTAGAACCGCGCCTGCGTCCATTCCTTGCAGTGTGTACTGTTGGATTTATATTAGATGGATGTTGGGACTTGGGGGAGTAATGTGTTACTGACTGAAAAGGAGGGAATAATGTTGGTTTTTTTCGAGAAATTATGTAACTTCTTAAATAATGCGTTAGCAATGTCCAGTTTGCTGACGTCACGATCCTAAAACCTCACAAAGTCATTACGTTTTTCTATATAATATCTAAGGGTAAGTTTGGTAAAATTTGGATGAATGGTTTTTAAATTAAAAATAGTCTAACTTTCTTGGACGTGCTAGGGGGTGCCCTTTCAGGCGTTTTTATGCCCCGCGACGAAGCCGAAGGGGCATACTGTTTCCGCCTTGTCCTTCCGTGGGAGGGTGAGTGGGTGGGTGTGGGTGTGGGTGTGGGTGTGGGTGTGTGTGTGTGTCCGGACAAATCTTGTCAGCGCGATAACTTGAAAAATACTTTACATATGAACTTCAAATTTGGTTTGTGTATTGTTCTTGGTAATCCTAAGAAGCCTTTTGCATTTGGGGCCAAAAGGTCAAGGGTCAAGGTCACAGTGGCTAAAACAAAAGAAAGTTTGTCAGCGTGATAACTTGAGATATACTTTACATGTGAACTTCAAATTTGGTTTGTGGATTGTCCTTGGTAATCCTAAAAAACCTATTGCATTTGGGGCCGAAAGGTCAAGGGTCAAGGTCACAGTGACTAAAACAAAAGAAATTTTGTCAGCGCGATAACTTGAGAAATACTTTACATATGAACTTCAAATTTGGTTTGTGTATTTTTCTTGGTAATCCTAAGAAGCCTATTGCATTTGGGGCCGAAAGGTCAAGGGTCAAGGTCACAGTGGCTGAAACAATAGAAATTTTGTCAGCGCAATAACTTGAGAAATACTTTACATATGAACTTCAAATTTGGTTTGTGGATTGTCCTTGGCAATCCTAAGAAGCCTATTGCATTTGGGGCTAAAAGGTCAAGGGTCAAGGTCACAGTGGCTAAAACAACAGAAATTTTGTCAGCGTGATAACTTGAGAAATACTTTACATATGAACTTCAAATTTGGTTTGTAGATTGTCCTTGGCAATCCTAAGAAGCCTATTGCATTTGGGGCCAAAAGGTCAAGGGTCAAGGTCACAGTGGCTAAAACAAAAGAAATTTTGTCAGCGCGATAACTTGAGAAATACTTTACATGTGAACTTCAAATTTGGTTTGTGGATCGTTCTTGGTCATAGGCCTATCGCATTGGGGGTCGAAAGGTCAAGGGTCAAGGTCATAGTGGCTAAAACAATAGAAATCTTGTATTTATTCTGAGATCATAGGGATTAGGGATTGATTGATATAAAACTTACACGAACGTGTTTGCTTAATTTTCATTCATACAGATGCGAGTAAATGCTTCAAAATTGGAAGTACCAGTAAAAGCAAATGCCATGTTTTATTCATACGAACATGGTATCATTTGTACTTTATGAACTTTGTTAATATAAATTTTTGCGATTAACATATAATAAATGCTGTAGCTTTTGCGCAGAATTATTTGCTTTATAATTTCAAGGTTGCCCCAACCCAGCCTTGTGAATGACAAGTGCATATTTGAAATCTGAAGCATTTAGGGGCCTACTCCTTTTTATTCATACGAACTACCGTATGGTATTATTTGTACTTTTTCGCGATTAACATTAATAAATGCAGTAATTTTTGCGCATAATTATGTGCTTTTATATTTTCAAGGTAGCCCCAACCCAACCTTGAAATATGACAAGTAAATATTTAAAATTTGTAGCATTTACTCCTTTTTATTCATAAGAAACGAAGTAAACGCTTATAGTGTAGCAAAAGCTTAAAGGTAAAAGTAATTATTTTCAGAATTTAGCAAACGGTTTTTAGTAAAAGTGTTTGCTTAATTTTCATTCATACAGATGCGAGTAAATGCTTCAAAATGGTAGCAAAAGCAAATGCCATGTTTTATTCATACGAACATGGTATCATTTGTACTTTATGAACTTTAATAAATGCAGTAATTTTTGCGCAGAAGTATTTTACTTTATAATTTCAAGGTTGCCCCAACCCAGCAAGTGCATATTTGAAATCTGAAGCATTTACTCCTTTATATTCATACGAAACGAAGTAAACGATAAATAATTTTTTTCTGGTAATGAAACCAAGGATCCTCAAAAGTGCATGCCCCAGGCACTGTAGCTCGCAAACCCCGAAAAAAAAACGTAGAGAGAAGACAATGAGAAGAAATTACAGTTTTAGAGGTGGGAGGAAAACCCCAGAAGAATAGTCTGGGAAAAACCCACGGAATCAGGTAGGGACTGAAAACCCAATCCACATGTAGACCATGGGTGCCGATGCACAGCGCATTGTGCACGTAAACGGCATTGCGTTCTTCGCGTTTGATGCGCTTTTTTTGTATCTGTCCTCCAGCACGTGACCCTCCCAGGTGCCGCTTTCCGTTTCGGTTACGATAGTTTTATTTTCTGCAAACTTATAAACATGTAAAGCATTACATTTTGCAGGCCATTTACTCAAGAGCAAATGGTTTTTTAGTAAAAGTGTTTGCTTAATTTTCATTCATACTGATGCGAGTAAATGCTTCGAAAGTGGTAGAAAAAGCAAATGCC